GGAAAATATGTCATGCTGGACTTCCATGTGGAAGAGAGAAACGGAAGGTGTGGGTGAGCTGGAAGGGCTAATTCAGGTACCCAGGGAAGACACGAGTCCTCCCACTCACATTTTGTCGGTCAGTTCTAGTCACTTCATGCTTTCTGCCCCTCCATATATATTTCTTAGGAAATTTTATGTATGTTCATGGATAAAAATGAATCTATCATGGCTTAGGTATAAGAAGTACACAGATGACTTGCGGAGGACTGTCCAGCTATACTTTCTGGTTTTTGTAAAGCTAAGATGAAACTTCTAGGTATCTCAAGCACAGCAATAAAATGAGCTTTTTCTTGATTGCTGCTAAGATGCAGCACTCAATGTCTTATTTTAATAGTTTTCATTCTGCAAAGTATTTCGGGTATAAAGTAAAATCATACAGTGAGCTCATCTTGCCTTAAAATGAATGGCAAAATATACACTTTATATTATGGCCACTAACCTCCTACACCTAAGACTCTCTGCTTTTTTTTTTTGGGGGGGGGGGCCCTCGCCGGTGGCTGGGGATTGAACCGGCACTGCAGAGGCTGCGGGCAGCCTTGGAACCCAGCGCTCAACCGCTGCGCCACCAGGGGAGGCCCAAGACTCTTTGCTTCTTGATCTACAGTAAAATAGGCTAAGTGGTCTACACTCCGCCCTCTGTGTAAAGCAGCCCACCATAAAACCCTCACCCACACATTACGCAACTGGTAGTCACTGTTCACAGAAAACAGAAGAGTAAGTTACCATGGAGACAAAGCCAATTCTCTCCACAATGGCCAGTTCTTCCAACTTAAAAAAGATATTATCGGAAAAATAACATGGAGCACTCAGACACTAGCAACCCGAAATCTGTATCCAGTAACTGTGGAGCTAACCACGCTCACTTTATCTTTTGACAGGATAACAAAGACAAACACACACTCAGAGATAATCCTATGTAATCACTATTTACAAAATAAATTCCTGTATCTGTCTAAATAATGTAAAACACTTACACTATCATATGGCTTCCACCTCTACTTAGTGCTTTATAAACGGGGTGACCACTCAGCTTGACCTATTTGGTGAAAAGCATTTGAGCTCCAGGAGACCATATGGACAGCCAGATGGCTGCTATAATTTAATGCCATTATTCTAAGGATGAAATAAGGGATAAACATAATTTGCATTATTTTCCATCCTTCCTGCCTACCTTTTATTAGTTTCATTTTTAATTCAGACATCAGAAGGGAAGAGAATACCTTGCTACCAGGGCCCAGGTGCCAACTAATTACTACAAGAGACTCCAGCCCTGACATCACAGGCCAGGCCTCTGAGCACACTCCATCCCGCACAGTGACCCCACGGTGGTGATTAATAGGGGGAGTGCTAAGCCCTAATGAGTGTGTCAGATCTTAGATGTTCTCCAGACTAAGGCAATTAGTATACTGTTGAACAGAGTTCTTCAGTTACTTCGTAGAGAGACTTACACGTCATAGTAAATTCTAAGTCTTTTCATCTTATGGTCTTTGAATTTATTTTCTAACCAGTAACTAAAAGGCCTCTGTAAATAGAGATCTTACAAACATTAGAAGAAAATTTAAATAGTTTTGCGATCAAATATTGACTTTCTCTACAATAGTGAATTTCTATGTTGAACACAACCTGAAGTGGTTTTCACAGATGTTTGCCAAAAGGCAGGTTTCTGGACTCTAACAACAGAATTTCTGATAAAAGGGGGTTTGCCAAGAAACCTAGAATTATGTTTATTTAACAAGAAACCTATGATTCAGAAGCAGAAAATCTGTGAGCTGCACCAGAAAAAAACACTGCAAAGTAAAGAACAAGACCAATATCTGTGTCTTAGATTACATGAATCAGTCAGACTTTTTGTTCCTTATAGGTATTATGTTTCTGAAAAAATGATCTGTCCCAATGTGAATAAGGGAAATTGTTTTCATATTGAGATAACAGTTTTAAATGCACCAATTGTTTCTTGTTAAAAGATTACATATTAATTATCAAGATAAGACATGGATGTTACTTCTAACAAACCGTGTCAGTACATAAGCTCTTCATTCCTCATGGACATGGCAGGTAGGTAAGCAGGAAAGGACCTGGAATTGTTTTTCTACCTTTAAGGGAAAAACCAAAGGTTACGAAGGGTAACAGGATTTCTGCAATTTGCCTTTTCTCCATGGCAGGAGGTGAGGCATGTCAAAGTCTCACTTCTGATAATTAAGAACTATTAAGCAATATTTGCTATTAACTATTACTATAACTATTAAGCAATTAAGAAATATTTCAAGGTCTTACTTGGGTCTTACCTAGACAGTACCATCGTCAATTACTACGTACTAAGAATTTCCATGTCTCTCACATGGCTTTCTGGAAACAGCCAGAAACAAAATCTCTGTTACTCTTCAGTTTATACATATTTTACTCCTCTGTTACCCTAAATATTTTAAGGCAGTCCCCCCCCCCCAATTTCATAACTATTTTACCAAACTATCACTGGAGTAAATTCAAAAGATTTGTCTTTTGTGCTTTCAGAACTTTATGTTGTATCTATTAAACACGGGGACCTAAGAGCATGACTGAAAGGAAAACATTTATATAATGATAAATATGTATTTACTTTATATAATTTGATATTGACATTTCATCATTTGAGAAAAATAATTATAGCTCTCTTCATCCTAAACCTCCTTTTAAATGCAGCCAGGGAATGGAAGGCGAGCATATGGCCATGGCAAGTTAATAAACACATCCTGCCTTTCTTGGATGAAAAATGGTTGCTGGGGTATCAAGTTCTGTCTGAAACGCAATGGTGGAAGCAATTCTGTTTCTTCTTATAGGAAGTTATCTGAAACTTTCCCCAGTACCCTCAGCCCCTCCCTCTAGTTAAGTGGAATGTGTACAGAAATGATGTTTACCCCATGGGGCTGGCATCTAAAATGCTTCATATAATCTTTCATTATAGGAATGTCTGCTTTCATTCCATGTCCAGTCAGATGGAACAGATTTAGAAAAAAAGTGAAAAGCCTTAGGTGACTGCACAGCTACTAGGTAACATTGCTTAAACAAGAAATAAACTTGTATTCCCTGCAGGGACTATGACGTGGACTCAGAAACGATATGATACTTTGATTTGTTCTTTATCCATCATGACCCATATCCTCATTTGAACATGGGCTAAGATTGAAGATTTAAGATTGCTTAAAACCAACAGAGAAAGTGAATTAAGACTTAACTACCTACAACGTATAACTTATTTTTGTTTTGCTTATGAGTTGGTCATCTAGCTACTTAACAGGGAATGATTAATATATTCTTAAGTCCAAATTCACGAGACTTAGATGAATTCACTAGAAGAAGATATTTCAGTTATATTTAAGAAGGGGGGGAACTACGTATCTTAAAAATCAGCACATCTTGGAGTTTATAACAAGATGGATTTCATGATTGCTATCTCTAATATTCTAGAAAAATGTTATTAAGAACATCTTATGGGACAAAAGAACAAGACCTACCATTTCTGTAGTCATCAAAAATCACACAGTTACAATTCTTAAGGCAATTGATCAAAGGAGAATCTTAGAAAAATGTTTAGATGCAGAAATTTTCAATGACAAAATAGCTTTTTGAACATACCTGTTGGTACTGGAACAAACATGTATCAATTTAATTTGGCCAAAAGTGTAAGGATAAATGCAAAATCTGGCACAAAGAAACTGGACAATACACACACACACACACACACACACACACACACACACGGTTATTAGAGTGTCAAATTTTTACCCTGGCAGTACATGAAGTTAGAATATCCTAATAAATAATTATTATGTCACTAAACAAATGACATTTCTTTGGCTGCAAAAGGCCTGGCCTAGATCTGTCTCTATAACTTTCTAGAGGTAAAGAGGAAGATGTGAGAATAGCATAGTGATTAAATGTCTGGGCTCCTAATATCTATTTGCCACTAATGAACTGTTTGACATGGAAAAGCATTTTATCGCTATTTCCTCAGCTCTAGAATAGAGAAAAGATAAGACTTATTTCTCAGATTATGAAGAGAATTAGGTAGCATGATAAATAGCAAGAATTTAGATAAACCTCAGTTGAAATAAATATCAATGAATATTGGATTATCTTCACCTGCAAAGTAAGAAATTGCCGTAGATGATGAGTAGGATTTCTTTTAAATGCTTTATATGCTGAGTCTGTACTTGTCCCTTAAAGTGAAATATTCAGTTAAAAAATAAAAACTCTAAAATCTAAATGTTTTAACGAATGACTTAAAAATCTGTAAGGCTGTCTGGTCTGCTGTTGAAAGTGATTTAACAAATATATTTGACATAATAATGCTCCAATAATTCTAACTTTTTAACACTCAGAAACGATGTGATACTTTGATTTGTTCATTATCCATCATGAGCCATATCCTCATTTGAACATGGGCTAATGCAAGATAATTGTCATGCAACCATTCAAATAACATGATGTCATATTTTATAAGTACCAGAGATAAGGAATTATTTTTTCAATGTCACAAATCTGAATGATAACACCCTATTTTTGCAGGTTCAGATGAATTCCTTTCCAGGCTTATAGACTCTCAGCAACTTGAGTTTCTTCCTCATTCAAAATAAAGCATTTTAACCAGTGGTAGCAATAGAAGGAAATGACACCAACACGTCACTGTAGACTTTACTGTGAATTAAATGGGAAGATACTTCCCTTGGATATTCTATAATTTAGTAAAATGTAAATCTTCATTCTAAAAGACACTAATAAGATTCAGAATGAAGTGACTGGTTAGAGATGCTGTATCACTAAAATCATTACGAAATCAGTTCTAATTATACTTCTGTTTGGTTTTAAGTGACTATAATCTGAAAACTGGGCTTTCCGATATCAACACTACGTGCAAAACATTGTAGCCTAGAGGATTCAATGCCTTACTCCAGAGTTCTATTGATTCCAAAGACCCTTACCTCCGGCGTACATAACAGCCAGCATGATGGAGGATATCCATGCTATTTCACTGTAGGATGTGTTGAATATTTGCTGAATTTCTTTGAAGAATACTGTGATGGCTTTGGGGAATGCATATGAGAATCCAATGGAGATAAAAGAGGCACCCACCACTACCCAGCCCCACCCTCCATCCGGAGGTGTGTGCAGTGGGGGTGCAGCTGCAGGTGGTGGCATTTTTGCTCCTCTATTGAAATTCAAGTAACCTATATGAAAAAATAACAGATTAGACCATGTTTTCATCTTCATTGATCACTCTTGATCAGTACCAACAGTGCTTCCCAATGTAACTATAACTATATATTTCTTATTAATATCTTTTAATATTTGTATTCAGAAAATTTACCAAAAAAATAGTGAGGGAACTCACTGTTAAGGATTAGAAATTGAACAGATTTAATTTGCTTAGGGTTCGAAAAATACTCAATGAGAAGATTTCAATCTGTATTGATCTGAAATGAAATAAAAGCTAATTCAACCTGCGCAAGAATACAAAAACACTCGTTTCAAAGGATGTATGTGCTCCTATGTTCGCCACAATAGTCATGTTGTAGAAACAGCCTATGTGCCCAAGGACAGAGGAAAGGCTTAAAAACTGTGGTGCAGACACACGTAACTGAATACCACTCAGTTATTCCAAAAAGACGAACTTTTGCCATGTGCAGTAAGATGGATGGAAATGGAAGAGATAAAGTCAATAGGAGACCAAAGGGCTTCATTTATATGTGGAATAGAGAGAAACAAAACAAAGGGTCAGATAAAACCAAACCGGTAACAAACCGGAGAAAACTAACTATGGAAGTGAGGTTCCAGAAGGTTCTGGGAGTTCACATTGAGGAGGGGGGCATAATGGGCTGTGGTGGAGGACTGTGGACCCCGTGGCCCCAGGTGAGGCATGAAGACATTCATGCAAGGAGGTGTGATTTTAGGCCTCTGATTCACATACAGTGTCTTAAACCAATGTCACCTCAATTTAAAAAAAAAAAAAATTGATAAAGTGAAAAAAACAAAGCGATCTCAATCTGATTTCTAGGGTTGAGAAAAATACAACTGTCATCACCTTGAATAACTTATTAATACAAAATGTTTACAATTTTTCTAAATAAAGAGCAAAGTGGACTGTGTATTAAATCTGATGGATTTTAAGGAACTAAATAATGGGAATAATTTAGAATTTTCCATTTTTAGTAAATATTTCAGCATGAATCTATTTTCTAAATCTATAGGATTAGGAATTGCATGGTTCTAACACATAAGTTAGTTTTAATGCATTTTGCACAAATGGCACTACCTATCATCTTAAGGCTGATACGTTTATACACATTTCATAGCAATTAAATAGGTCGTATGCTTTTTTTCTTAAAGAAATGGATTTTGAATATGCCTAAGAATACTTAACTGCTACCTTTATGGTATAAGGTACTCACTCTCATGTGGGAGAAAGAATCACACAGAGCTCAGCATAATTGAAGTTGAGTTAAAAACATCATGGTTCTCTAATCAATGATTTTGTGGAGTGATGCTGCTCACCTAGCTTTTAACTGTGACATTTAGTATTTTTCCATTATGAGCTTTTTACTACCCTCATTCCATGGGTGAGTATTTTCAACTGAAACAGAGGGAAAAGAAATAATTTTCTGTTGCAAGATAATACTGTAAATAAGTGCATAAAAACTAGTATCACCACACTTTGAGAAACATCTGTGAAAAACCTTAACAGATATCAATGAAAATAACATGTGGGGTTTAATTTTTGTTTAACGTGAAATTATAGCTATTTCAATGATCTCCTATATGACCTACTAGACTTTGAGTGAAAATATTCTCCACATTAAAGTTTTCTAATTTTTCCATGAATATATCCAGACTGATTTCAGAAACTCCTTAAGAGAAATTATGATAAAAATGAAACAAAATAGGTAGAGTGCAGTCTTCCTGGTTACAGTGACATTAACTAGAGAACAGTTTTAGAGGATTAACTTGCTGTCTCTTACCTTATTAAAATATATCTTAATAATATATAGTATATATTATGGGTAACATAATAAAATTATATATAATATAATCATATTAATCTATAATCTAATCCATAAATTTACAAAAATGGAAAAAGAATCTCTGGTTCAATAAATATTGAGTTCTATGTTAAGAAAGTGCTTTTTAAGTAATTATCTGTTTATTAAATTTCCACAATAGCCCTAAAGATGTTGCCCTACTTTTAAAATGAGACTAACGTTCTGACAGATTAAGAAACTAGAACCAAGTAAAATAATAATGTCAGGAACTATATTCACTTATCACTGCTGTCTCTTAAAATTATATAAATAGAATTATAATCAAGAACATTGGTTAATTTATTGGAGGAGCACAAGCAATAAAAATACCTAAGTATATTTATTATAGCCTCTTATTTAAGCCTCAATATATAAATAATAAATTCTTGGGAATTCAGCTTTTGGTTTCATATAATTTTATATTTATACATGATGGTTATAAACTGCTGACCTGCTGTTATATAGCATAGCTGATTCTCATAATTCACGTGAGTTGTGTTTTATAAAGTTGCCATAAACACTGAATTTTTAACTGGCTGCACCTAGCAGAAATCTGGGTTAGGTTTCTGCCAACCTCTTGTCAAAACATTTTCATCCACTGATCAACATGTAACTTTGTATGAGTGCTTCTGTTTAAAGTCATCTTATTCACATTGTTGATTCCTTTTTTTTAAAGATTAATTTTATATATTTATGCACACAAGAGCTGGGGCACAGGCCAGAGGTGTGGGGGGGGGTGAGAGGATTCCCCAGAGACAGAGTGGGGAGCAGAACAGGCAGACTGACTGAAATCCACTACTGAGGGGAGCAGTGGGTGAGTCAGGAGAGGTCTGCTGCGCCATGTGGGTCAGCTCCCTGGCTGGGGATGGAACTCGTGCTGCAGTGGCTGCTGATAGCTTGATAGTGCTGAGACTTAACCCCTTGCACCACCAGGGAGGTCTGAAACTACAATTATTAACACATATTTGTGAGAAGCCAAATTCATAAATATGAAATTATGAATAACGATGATTGACTACTTCTGCATATTTGCATTTATATTTATGTGTATATACTTATTTACACATGTACATATAAAGACTAATAAATTGATTCCAGTTAGTTGTCATTACCCAAATGCTGCTCTGAACATTTGCATACATATCACTTCTGTCTTGTATATGATTGTTTGTTTTCTCTTTCCACCACATTTACTTGATCTTAATTGTAACTGCACACTCCAGATTGAGAATCTTCTCTCCTCTAACTGCCAGTCTATTTTGACATTTTAAGATCTTTTAACTAAATCATCATGAAGTGGATGCAGAACCAATTAATGATTGAAAATTCCACTTCCAAGAGTGTCACCTGTTCTGTGTTAACAGGTATCTATGAATCCTGAGTTGACCAATGGTCAAGATCAGTTCATAATTTTTTTAAAGATTTATTTATTTATGGATAGAAGAATTGGGGTACAGGCCAGAGGTGGGGGGTGAGAGGATACACCAGAGACAGAGTGGGGAACAGAACAGGCGGATTGGCTGAAATCCACTGCTGAGGGGAGCAGCAGGTGAGACAGGAGAGGTCTGCTGCACCCTGTGGGTAGCTCCTTGGCCGGGGATGGAACTTGTGCTGCAGTGGCTGCCGATAGCTTCATAGGCTGTGTCTTAACCTCTGCGCCACCAGGGAGGCCCCAGTTAATAAATTTTAATGAATTTTCATTTTATTTTCTTGTGCATGATTCTGTAACTTCTGGTTGTTGTGTCTTGTTCTTTTTTAATGTAGCCATAATCAAGAAAAACAGTTAAAAGTATAATTTTACCTGCTGACAGATGTCCACTTGAACAGATTTCTTTGGATTACACGTGGAATCGTTAAATTTAGTTGCTGTTTCTTGAAGTGTGATATTAGAAGGCAACACAAATGAGAGGTAGAACAAACCCTGAATTATCTAAAAAAAAAAAGAAAAACAAGAAATACATGTATACTTATCAGAACCATTAGCTTCAACTTACCCCAAATGAATCTTTTTTTAAGTATTAGCAGATTGAATATATATGAATATTAAAAAACATTGGATTAAAAATATTTACTAGACAGCTCTCTTGCCCCCCTGTGAGTATGCAGATGCCCCTTTATCTTTCTCCATTTCCTAATGGACCTGTCCTTTTAAAATATAACATATATATATTTTTATATATGTGAGTGTGTGCGTATACATAATAAATATATCTGAAATGTAACATGTAGTATGTGAGCAAAAGTAAAAAGTGTAAAATGGAAAATTAGGGTTTTTAAATAAAAAACAATAAATTACAAATTTGCCATTATAAAAAGGGAGTTTATTGGCATTCATTAGCTGTTATTCAAATAGTCCCCCATATTAATTTCATAATTCACTCTTAAGTTCTGTTAAAATGTACATTGAAATGGAATTAAATTTAAAAATTAAAAGAAAATTATGAAAATACTATTAATATTACAATGAGACAGACAGATTCATGAAAAAATAAGTTCAAAGTATTTTCTATATCTTCTGATTTACAATTCAAAGTTTTCAATCAAATATGGGTAACAGGTGAACAAGCTAAGTCTCCCAAGCATGTCCAGAAAATGCCTTTATTTCAACCTAAATATGGGACTGAGAATAGAGAAGGTAATATTTAGAGATTATTTTATAAGCACCAACCATTCCTTTGCCTAGATGAAAGTTGAGAAATGCCCTGCCCTCTTCATCCCTCCCTCAAATTCCATCTGGTAACCAGTATTTTTTCAGAGCTCAATAAATATTTTTGCTGTGCATTGACGGTTTTTTTCTTTGACTGTTTATATTCCACATACAAGTGAAATCATCCGGTGTGTCTTACACTTTGTGACTTAATTTACTTGTTGCTGTTCCTACTCTACTACACAAACGCGGAGGCCGTTCTTTTCACTTAAACATGTATTCTTTCATTTTATTTCTAGGGTGAACTTCCAAATTTCAATTCCTGCACATACCCTTGCCTGTCTTGCCCCTCAGTAGTCAACTACTTATATTCTTCAAGTGTGTATTTCGTAATTGAGTTCTTCACATTGGTTTGCAATACTGTATATGATTTAGAGGAACAGGATCACATCCTTTAAGTGTATGTTGTCACACATATATCTTTAATTCTAAACCCCAAAGGTCTAAATGTGAAAGTCCTTAGAAATTCATTATTCCAACTTATTTGCATGTGTCTCTTCTGTACAGGTTCTGAGGAGATAGACTACAAAATATCATTATCATTAATAAAAGAATGATTTGATGACTACTCATTTCAACAACTTACACAGTGAAATATGCTCAAGAAGTTTGCCTAATCTTATGGGGATCAATATTGGATACAAAATCTATAGAGATGATTTAGGACAAATAATTAAAATATTATCCATGACCCTTGGTTAGATTCTTGAGTTATATTCAAAGCCCTTTCTCATTAGGTTGCACAAAATACCAGAATGTTCTTTTACATACTTAGTGAATGATCATTTTGACTTCCTAAATCAGTATGCATCAATTTTATGAACCGTTATCAATTGTCCATGGCATCCAGAAGTTAACAGTTCAAAACACAGTCCAGAAATAATGTACTCAGCAAACTAGGTACCAAATTAAATCAATAGATGTTAGGAGACTATTGACTTTACTATAAATTCTTTTAGATAGCCTATAGATAAAGCATGAGTTGGTCTTTACATCCTATCTATGAAGTAGATTATGTTTTCTCCTAAAAAAAATTAATATGTTCCTAAAAGAATAATGGACTGGTGCTTTACTCATTATTTTCTCTTCCTTACACAAAAGTAGATAGTGATGTCAAATTAATGTACAATGCTTAAGTTTAGGTGAAAACTCACCCAATTTTATAACAGGCATTAAACTGAGCCAAATCTTTGCTTTTCTAACATGTAATTGAATTAAAATTGAAATCTGATCCTGGGAGATATTTTATTCTTCAAAATGGACCATCTTTTAAATGCTATTGACTGATTTACTTTGACAACAAGGTATCTCAATAGCGCATGGCCTACAAAATGTTAGTAACACACAGCCTGTTTTTATAAGTAAGTTATTCCTGTGGTTAAAAGGAATACTAATTGATAATAAGGGTCAAACTAATGGAAAAATTAGGAACAAATACAAACCAGCATGTAATTATCGATGGAAGAACTGGAAATGTATGCCTCATTCCAAACATGGTTAAAGCCTTAAGAATGGGGTCTGTGTCCTAATAAATAAGAAGGCAGAGAGCTACCTCACCCACCCTTTCTGCCATGTGAGGACACAGTGAATGGCAACTGCCCATGAACTAGGAAGAGGGTCCCCACCAGACATGGAATTTACTGGATTCTTGATCTTGGGCTTCCCAAGCTCCAAAACGGTGAAAAATAAATGCCAATTGTTGGTGAGACTTCAGCCTGTGACACTGTAATAGTAGCCCTATCAGATTAAGACAATGTGACTAGGAGTAGGGTGCTGTAGAACACCTAAAAATGTAGACGTGACTTTGGAACTGGGCAATAATAGAGCCTGGATAATTTTTGAGGTACATGAAAGAAAAAAGACTATTGCCATGAACAGACTCTTAAGTGTGACAGTGGTGAGACCCACCAACGAAGGAACATTGTAGAGAAGACCTCTATCTTCTTAGATAATAGGTAAGAAATTAAGAATGTGTTACAAGTCTATGGGGAAAATATGATTTCTGTTTTAAAAGTGGCGAGGAACTTATCTCAATCAAGTTCATCTTCTAGTTCTATTGTAGAACTTGTGAATAATGAAATCAGATATTTAGCTGAAGTTATTTCTAAGTGAGTCAGCTTGGTTCTTCTTAACTCCTTATAGCGAAATGTCAGCAGAGTGATATGCTTTAAAGACAGAATTGTCAATCAAAACTTAAAGATTAAGAGTACTCTCAGCCCATCCATGTTGAAAAGATTGAGCAAATATGGTCAGAAGTGAACAGTGTGTACAAAAATACCATTTAATAAGATTTTCCAATCCTCCAACTAAACCAGGACAATGGAAGAATAATCCTCAACACAGTTCAGAAATCATAAGGACTGTCCCTCCCATCATCAGCTCAGAGTACAAGGGCCTAGGAGCAGAGTAGTTTCAAAGGAGCTGTAGGACCCTGGGGTGTGCTGCCCTGTGCTGTCTCGGTTCATGGGCTCTGTTCTCTGCACTATAGCTTTCTAAGCCATACAATCCTTTCTGAAAGAAAAAATATTACTGATTATGCCAGTATCCAAACAAGCTACTCTGGTTTATGGGGGGGAGTCAAAGAGATCCTGTATCTCCACCTGTATCTCCACCTTATTCCTTGACTCATCCCCTGAAATAGCCCCTAAGAATCTTAAAATATCTTGGGGCATAGTTGGAGAAATTTTTGTATTATCTTTCTCTCCTCTCATATTTAGTGGCATTCTCTGGCCAACATGGAGAAAAAGGAAATGGTATTTAAGAGATTTAGGGTCTTTCCCTTTGCATTTAGCCTTCAAAGATTTTTTGCTGGGATGGTTCTTTCCTTAACATGGAAAGGTACAAAGGAAGGAGGGTTAGAAATCATTCCTGGATGTTTCTAGGAAGATCACGGAACCAGAAGATGATTTTCCCACTTTTCTATTAAAAATCACATTTTAAAAAATTGAGTAAGAAAAAAGTCCATAAGATACCCTGATACCATGATGAGCTTCAGAAATATACTAGAATCCCCTAAAAGTTTCCATTGCCACAACTGGGAGCAGGATCCAGAAATGGTGCCACAGCAAGGTGAATCAACTTGGCCAGAGGCATTTGAGTAACATGGTTTTCCATTTCAGTAAGATAAGCCTCCCTGGTCTACTGATCCCTCTCCCTAGCTCCAAATAGCTGCACTTTCCTGTGAACCACTGTTCTGTTTAGAACCTTGTCATAATATTTCCATCTAGGCTCATTTGTCATCCAACACTTTTTCAGTTGTAGTCTCAAGATTCTAGAGCCCCTGTCCACTACCTCCCTTGGGAAATTTTTTTATTAAAGATTTATTTATTTATACAAGAACCAGGGTACAGGCAGGAGGTGTGGGAGGGTGAGAGAATTCACCAGGGACAGAGTGGGGAGCAGAACAGGGAGACGGACCAAAGACACTGCTGAGGGGAGCAGCGGGCGAAACAGGAGAGGTCTGCCATGCCATGTGGGTATCTCCCTGGCTGGCCGGGAATCGAACCTGCACTGCAGAGGCTGTGGATAGCTTCACAGCGCTGCGCTCAACCCGCTGCACCACCAGCGAGGCCCTCCCTTGGGAAATTAAACAACCGAACTTCCCAACTTTGGGAAGTGGCTGAAAACATTAGTGTGCTCAACTTAATAAGTCTATTATACATACATTAAATGATGGTTATAATAATTTGGTAAATATTTATAATATAGACATCATTGAAAAAAGATGATAAAAATTTGTGACAGTAAAACTCAAAATACGTGCTAAGATAAGCTACATTGTTAGGGTGCGAGTTGTAGAAAAAATATATACCCTTAATTTTACAAATTTTAGATAATACAACTATCTAATCTATCAAATACTTCAAGTTAATATTACATATTTAGTGATTTTCCTTAATTTTGGTTTTTATAGCTGCTTTGAAAAGTAACTTAATTTTAACTATCCATTCAATATGGTTATAATAAAATAATATGGTAACATTGGAAGCCATTTTATTTAGAGATCTTGTCTCCATTTTGAAGTTCCTTTTTTTGCTTTACACTTCTTTGTTTATGTATAAAATTATGAGGTTTTGTATAAGTTCTAAAGCCTACATTTAGAGATGACTCTCACACCCACTTTACATGAACCATTGAATGGATTCACCATAACTGCACCAGCAGCCACCACTATGAGTCTTTACAGAGAAGGGCTACAGAACTCTTAGAAATCTCATAAAGTT